ATTGCTACCCTTAAATTTGTTTTAGCAATCCACACAGTAAGTTCCGGACCAGGGACGGTACATTGCCAGTGTTTCTCGCGTCCACTGAAAGGGCCCCTCCCGCGTGAAGCCACACATCCGTCACGTGCGCCGTGTCGGTCGGCCGAGCTGCCCGGGCGCTGACGTCGGCGTGTGCCGCCCCGGCAGCCGATGTGGTCGGGCCCAGACGACTGTAACCGGGTGGCGGGCAAGGTGCGGCTGGGCCGGGAGACGCTGGCTACCATCGACGGCAAGTGGGACGGTCAGGTGTTCTTCACCGACAAACGCACGGGCGTGAGTAACGACGCCCCAATGATGGCCGGCGCCGGCGCTCCGTCCACCTTTTCATATCGAGTTCATCCGTCTGATGTAGTTTTACTGGTAATTTGCTATGTGGATTTCCTATCGTTGTTTAAAAATCGGCTTAAAATGGTACTTACCCACTAATTTAGGCTGTCGCCTACAGCGTGCGAGGAAAATACGAATAGGCTGGCAGAGAACGTTGAGACCCCATCGCACAAACGACGCGTGCACCAGCGAAACTGCAGGAACGCGCTGGGTCACGCTTGGTGTGTCTGCACTTAAGGTCATAAGGCAGGACAAGCCTCGGCAATGGCGACAAGAGATTTACAAGGCTCCTTGTTATGGTGGAGTGACGTGATGATATAAGAACGTGGTGCTCCCCGTCGGCAGAAGCGGGAGACCCTGTGGAACCCGACGCCAGACGTGTGCCGCCAGCGGCTGAAGCGCTTCACAGTGCCCATGGAGACGCAGGGCGAGTGGGAGTCGGAGCGACTCTGGGCCAAGGTCTCCAAGGAGATCCTCAGAGATGATCAGGTGGGACTGTGGGCCGAGGTCTCCCAGGAGATCCTCAAAGATGATAAGATGGGATTCTGGGCCAAGTTCTCCCAGGATATTTTTTGGATAATCAGATGGGACTCTGAGCCAAAGTCTCTCAGAAGATCCTCATGGATGACTAGGTGCGACTCTGGGCTAAGGTTTCCCAGGAGATCATCAGGGATGATCGGGCAGGACTCCAGAGAGACCCTGAGAGATGGCCAGATGAGAGTCGTGGCCAGGGTCTCCGGGAAGACCCTCAGATAGATCAGGTGGGAATCGGGTGACTAGCGTGGAGTGTAATGGGAGGTCGTCAGGGACGTCCGTCCAACAGCCGGAGAATACCAGTACTGTCCCGGAAAATCCTCACGGACGACCCAGTAATACTGCTCACGAGCAGATCGATATGGCGTGTCGTAAAACCGCAGGCGCGCCTCTGAAGGCGCACGCGGTCACTGATGAGCAGTCGCTACTCTGTCCAAGTGATGCGTGCATGCTCCCACACTGCTGATACTGGGATCAGCACCATTACCGCAGGCTGGGCGTGAGCGTACAATACCACGTGGCCTGACCCGGCGCCTGGCTGGGCCGGCAGGAGGCGGCCACGCAGGAGAAGTTTGTGCTCGAGGAGGCGCAGAGAGCGGGCGCCAAGGAGCGCAAAGCCACCGGTAGCGAGTGGGTCACGAAAAACTTCGCCCAGGTGAGGTCAGGCCGGAGAGTCGCTGCACGGCGGAGACACTGCGCGGAGTGGTCTGTTGAGGCCGGTTCTTGCTGTGGTGGTCCTCTCCGACGAATCGATGCTCGGCGTTTGTGTTTGTTTGAGTTTGAGTCCTGTGACGTCATGGGTACTGGTGAGGTCGCTCAGCGATCGTGTCAAAACAAGTTCTCGTCAGACCATGGCTGGTGGCGGCGCATGGGCTGGTTCCGAGTGGGAACCTTGCAGTCCTCCGCGCCGAACAAATCACAAACGGTGGGTTGCGACTCGGTGCGGCTCGACGAGAGCCGCCAACGGTCCGACGAATCGATGGCCGCCGGTTCGGCTTAATTTGAACTCGACCAAAATACCAACGCCACTCTCACAGATGTAGAGCGGTTGTACACATGTGAAGGATTGCGACAAATGTGTTGCAGGGAGCGGGTGTACACACGATACGCGTTTGCCGACATTTGTGCTGTCATTCAGCGGAAGATCCCACGGGACTTTGCTGAAGCTCACGAGGCTTGTCAAGCTAGCCTTCGTTTGATTCAGTGGCCGTGTTGGCGTCTCTCTGGCAGTGCCGGCTCGCCCCGCCGCTAATCAGCTGCTCCGGAGACCTATGGGCTGCCCCCCCCCCCCCCCCCCCGTGACCGCCCGTGCCGCCGTCGTTCGCGGTCCGACCGTACGGCCTCTGTGGCAGGACTGCCTGACGGGCGAGTACCTGTACCGGTACGCCGACCTGCGCCCCTGGGACCCGCACACGGACCAGCACCAGTACGAGGCCGAGTACCAGGTGCTGACGCGCACGCGCGTGCGCGCGCCCATGCTGCGCACGGCCAGCATTCTCAGCGTGGAGGCCAACCTGCGCAAGGTATGTCCGCGGTGGCGGCGCCGTGTCTCGGGGGCTGGTGGATGGGCTTGTGATCAATGGGACGCGGGTTCGAGTCTCGCCGGTTGTGTTTCGGCTGCCCCGCCTCGTCGCCATGAGAGGCGGCACGCCAGCGGCCGCGGTGGTCACATCCGCCGTAACTGGAAGTTTGCTTAACGTCGGGCTACGGTGATGATATGGGGCTGGGGGACGGCGAGGGCTCGCTTCGGCGCCACTGTCTGACTGGTGGCGGCGCTGCAGCTCTTGTGCAGGCGAACCCGCCCTGGCTCTGGCGCGGCTCGTGAACTGCGCTGTTCTGCTCCGTTTCGGCGGCGGGACGCTGAGTTTCATCGCCTGTGCGTAGGAGCGATGTATGTCATCTCCATGGGGTGAACTACGTCACGCCTCGTTACCTCCGCCGGACCCAACAGGAAGTGGTTGTATGTTGTTTCCGTCGTGAGAGAAGGCCGTCTGAATTTGGCGGGAGGGCGTGTGGCATCAAATCGCCTCGCCGTGCTGCCCGGCCCGCCGTCAGCGGCTTGTCTGTCGGACAGGCGGAGGTGGCAGCCGTTAGAAAGGAGCTCTCCGGCCGGCCGGCCGCCATCTCCGAGAGCTCGTCGCCAGATGTCAGCACCGTGGACGGCGCTCGGAGGCGCGAGCACGTCTCCCCGCTCAGGTTCGGACCGCTGTAACGCCCGCGCGTGTGACGCGTAATGCGCGCTGACGCCGTGGCGACCGGCTTCTGGGACGGGGCTCGGAGCACGTAGAGTTTGGTCAACGCTGGGTCGTGTAGCCGGCGAGATTTGGGCCGATTTTCGCGGCGCCGTATTTACATCCCGATGTGGTATGGGACAGACCGGCGGCGCTTGTTCCTTAGGTGGAGCTGTAACCGTGTGCGCCCGCAGTGTGATGACGGGGCGGCGTGGGCCGCGTGTTGCGACTGTGACCGCGTACGCCCTGCGTTCGACGCGCGGCCGCGGGCTGTGACGGTGACTGTGCTCCGGTGCGGCCGACAGGCTGCAGCGCGCCCTGCAGCCGCTGGAGCAGCTGCAGCGCGACACCAACGCCGAGCTGGCAGCCGTGCGCCGCCAGCTGGAGCGACTGCAGCGTCGGCAGCCGGCCAGCGCCAGCTCCAGCCCCTGGCTGGTGCTGGCGCTGGCGCTGCTCGTGCAGCTGGCCATCGGCTGGTGGCTGCGGCGCGACTGAGCGGCCCACTTCTCCGTCCTCGCGCCGGGGACGGCGGGACGTGCGCCATAGCTGGCGGACGCGCCGGGCTGCGGCCTCCGGCCGGAGCCGCCGGAGACATCTGGCGGCGCTGCAGCGAACTATGTCGGCCACTGCGGGGTGTCTGCCGCTGGGCCGGGACGGTTAGCTGACTTGTTCAGCACCGTCAGCCATTGGTCGACTCATGTTGCTCTTTAGTGATTTATTCAGTTATGTTTGAATTGTTAAGGTTTTAACGGCGTGTGAGACGTGTGCAATGTCTTCGGCGGCCCCTGTAGCCTCGATATTCTGCTGTGATTTGGGGCCGGTTTGATAGCTCTGGTGCTGGCGCGAGTTGTATGTGGCCATTGTGCGGTGTGTAGCCGGCGGCGGCGGCCGCGTTCTGCGCTGTGTCGCGTGGATATCCTCGGTAGGTTGAGCAGCTCTCTCGAGCCAGGTCAGGATTTGGTTAGCTCAGACCAGCCAACATGTGCCCAGTCCAATTCTCCTCTTATTACGAGCCGGCCCCTTGGGCCCGCCAGTCCCCATTCCCCTTATCAGGTCAGTGCTAGTGACATTCCTCTTCCGTCTGCGGTGCCGCGCGCGCGGCTGTGGTGACGGGCTGGGACCGCCGCTTGGTGGAGGCCCGCTCGTCGAATACAGGGTGAGAAAAGAATGGCAGCGTTCTGATCAGGATTATCTGGAAACCGACCAGTTTCGGGTGAACAAGGTGGTCCCGTTCTTAAAAGTGTATGTGGAGCGTCTCGACACAATTACGCTATTCAAAAGCGTTCATAAAAACAGAAGGCACAGCCGTACAAAGACATTCGTCAACCGCACCCATTACTGGGCGCCATGGCACGCACATGACAGAAAGCGGCACAAGCTGCTCCCTGCTGCCGGGCACATCCGATAACACGCACAAACAATCGTGTTCTTCAGATACAGCGTATCAATCTGACTCCGTTACAGGGGAAATGCCCCGTCGCCGCGCGGAACGCGTCTATTTTCGTCGTCGTCGCGGCTTAACGACGTACTCAGTTGCTGAGGCTGTATGACGTCTGTCGTACCCTGGCAGGAAGGGCGGACACTGCGGGAATCGGACCATGTACCTTTGGCTTCCCAGACGCGCAGCTTAACCACTACCTGGGTACCCTGGGGCGTCACTCTCTGTCACGGGCCACCTGGTGACCGGGTCATCCGCCAGCAGCCCGTGGCCCGTGCTCGTGACCACCGCCTGCCTGCAGCGGTCCGCGCCTTTTTTCCATCTTCCAGTGGCGCCACCTGTGCAGCACCCAGCGCCGCTCCCAGCACCGCGGCGGCGGCGGCGGCAGCGGCGGAGGAGCAGGACATGTCCGGGGAGCGGGCGCACCGGCGCTAGATGTGGCGGCAGGCGGCGCCGCGGCATCGGACGGCAGCCGAAAGACGGCGGCGCCACCTGGCCTTCTCCGCCGCCGACATGGCCGACGCTAGGTTCACCAGCTGGTTCGGGTCAGCGGTCAAGTCGTACACCTCCCAGAACTCCTGAAACGGACACGGCCGCGTCCGGCACCTGAGGTCGGGTGTACATCCGGTACACGGTGTCCGGTACCTGATCTGGGGTGCAACCCACAGTACAGGACAGCTAAGTGGCACGGAAAACGGCTCCCAAGCTCGGAAGAAAACGGCCAAGTTCTGGGGCACTGTGCGTGCGTGTGCGAGGGGGGAGGGGCGACCACCTCCCAGCATTCTTGACGGGCGCGCGGCGCGCTGTGAGGTTTGCACACCGGGTGCACCGCCTCGTCGCTCCCAAAAACGGCGAGGAGGATGATCAGCTGGTGGCAAGGCAGGCTTCAATATGACCAGTTCCCAACCGGACGCCGGCGTCTGAGCCCACAGGAAAGCGCGAGGGAGGACACATCTGTAGTAACGGAAGCGGGGCCGGGATGCCTTGCCGAGCACAGGCCACTCGCCCCCCGATAGGTCAAATGTTGTCCGGTCTTTATCAACGTGGGACAGTATGATGTGCTTTGCTGTCACGCATCCTGGGTAATTCATCGAGCAGTTGTATTGTACCTGTCAGGCTTCGGCATTCGACGGCAGGGGCGAACACCCCAGGTGCCCACAGGGAGCGGTGGTGCTCGGCACGTGGCGCTCACCTCATCGGGAAAAAAGCAGACGACGCGGTCTGCGTCCGCGGTCATCTCTCGGATGCAGCGGTACGTGTTGTCCCTGGAGTCCAGGCACTTGCACGCAAACCGCTCGTAACAGTGCTGGAAGTCGAGCGGGGCTCGTCAGCGACGGGCCAGGCCCAGACAGCTGCACCACATCAGACAAGCCAAGCTCCCTCCGCCCTCGCGACGCCGCGCCACAGCCCGTTCACAGCCTGTGGCCAATGGCGTGCCTGAGAAGTGAAAACAGCTTCCGATAAGAGCTTTCAGTGTCGTGGTGTCGTTTGACGGTACTACCCATCACTCTGCGTCACGCTGTCTCTGTGTTTGGAGTTCCTCGGCCGCGGGCCCGCCGACACATGAGGACACCGAGGGCGTCCGTCTGACCGCTCCAGCTCACCTCCGCGCCAGGCACGCCACCCGGACACCCCGCTCCAACTCGCCTCCACGCCTGGCACACCACCCAGCCACCCCGCTCCAGCTCACCTCCGCGCCTGACACGCCACCCCGACACCCCGCTCTAGCTCGCCTCCGCGCCACCCGGACACCCCGCTCCAACTCGCCTCCGCGCGTGACATGCCACCCGGACACCCGGCCCACGACCGGTCCATAGCGTGCTCGTGCCGAGCCCGGACTCCGACCCTGCCGTACCGAGACGTTGCGGCCGCGGAAGGCGCAGGCCGGCGCCACGGCCTTGTCGTACTCGCCGCTGTAGCTGACCAGCAGGGCGGAGCGGCGACTGGGCGGCGCGGCGGCGTCCGCCGGTCGGGACGCCGCTGGCTCGGCCGCCAGCGTCTGTCGGCCGGACTACCGTGAGCGAGTGCCGCCGACACATGGACAGCGCGTGGGCTGCGGAGACGTGCGGTCGCTCGCCGCCGAGTCCTGTACCGATGGAATCACGGCTAGATGCGACTGGTGAGCGGGCGGACTGTGTCACGTGGACCACAGAGGACAGGTAGGACACGCGCCTCACGTCTGGCATAATCCGCACGGGCAACTGTCTCCCTCGGCCGCCGAGGTCAGCCGAGGTGCTCACCTGCAGCAGGGAGACGCCGTCCATGTCGGGCTCTGGCTTCAGGCCGGCCAGCTCCAGCACGGTCGGCGCCAGGTCGACCATGCTCACCGGAGCCAGCACGGTGCGGCCAGCCGGCAGCCGGGGGCCGCGCACGTACAGCGGCACGCGCAGGTCAAACTCGTACGGCTGTCGCTTGTCCACCGTCAGCGAGAACTGGCCTGCGGCGGCGCGGGCGTTAGCGTTAGCGGAGACAGCGGAGGCCGGCACCACGGCCCTGAGGTTCGGCGCACGGCTCCAGCGGCCCTCCCAATCAGCAAGAGTCACTCCCAGCCGACCAGGGACAGGGACAGTCGGAGACACAAACCAGGGACGGCCGCCTACAACACTAACCGGGCTGGGCGCTTCTCACGCGAAACGGCACGCTTACCCCGCATCCGAACAGCACAAGATTTGCGGCTTCGCACCCAAGCGGTCCGGCACATGGCCCCGCGTATTTCGGTGCGTGTGGATATCGCCCCGTCCCCAGGATGCGTGGGACGCGCTGCCGCACGCCCCGGCGGTGGAGTGCCATCCTGCATCCAGGCGGGGCGGGTGGGTGTTGCTGGCCGTACCCAGGTGGAAGCCGTGGTCGGAGGTGAACAACAGGTGGGTGTTGTCCAGCAGCCGGAGCCGGCGCAGCTCTTGCACCAGAGCCGACACCATCTCGTCCACAGAGACCAGCGTGCGCCACCGGTTCCGGAACACGTCATCCAGCTCGGCCAGCAGCGGCGGCGGCAGCGGCGCCGGCAGCTCGGCCAGCAGCTGGTGCTTGTCCTACCGGCCGTGTCACAGACTAACGCGGCTGAATGTGTCACACTGTCCGCACTGGGCGCCTGGCAGACACAGGAACTGGCTGTGGAACTGAGATAAATCGAACTTCGGACTGACTTGGCCCGGTGCACGGCTTCAGCGCTGCGCCGCCCACCCTCCCACTCTGCACCTGGGGTCGCACGTTGAAGCTGGCCGTGCGCGGTGGCCACCCTCCCACTCTGCACCTGGGGCCGCACGCTGCAGCTGGCCGTGCGCGGTGCGCCGCCCACCCTCCCACTCTGCACCTGGGGTCGCACGTTGAAGCTGGCCGTGCGCGGTGGCCACCCTCCCACTCCGCACCTGGGGCCGCACGTTGAAGCTGGCCGTGCGCGGCGCGGCGGCCGTCGGGAAGAGGGCGGCGTGCTGCGGCGCCGGCGTCTGCGGCGCGTGCGGCGCGGGCGGCGCCACCATCAACAGGAACGGCGCGCCGCCCGGCGCCCGGCTGCGCAGAAACTCCAGCGCGTACCGCTTCTGTGGCACGCGTCCACGCCCGGCCGGTCAGCCGACGGCGCAGAGGCTGGGGTCGGCGGAGCTGGAGTCGGAGCGGGTCTGACTGCGCCCGAGAGCGAGAGCGAGGTCTAGCGGCGTAGGTCACATTCATATGTCAATTTAGTTGCTCATGTGGTCTGAGCAATTAAATTCAAATGAATGATGGCAATGTCACGTCACGACAACCCACACTGCCAGTTCCATTGGCCCCCATTCGTTCCACTGACACGTACTATCCAAACGCGACCAGAGCCTACCAAGCACCGGTTAGTTGCGGCCCAGATTAGCAACGGGAGACGTCAAAAACGCGCCCCGCTGAACTGCGCTGGCAAAGGTGGATGTCCTGACGAACGGCCCGTGGTTCTATCCGGCTTCTGTTTGCGGCCACATCTCAGACATAAGCGGGAGACGCTTGCGCTCACACCCTGGTTCCACCCGGCACCGAGCCCGAACACTCTCCGTCGCCCGGCGGACAACGCCAGCGGCACAGCCTCGGTCCCAGCCCCCCCCCCCCCGACCACCCCTGGCGCTACGCCTTTCTGCGGGTGTGCGCTCTGCACCCTGTCGCGAAGCCGTCCCATGGTCAGCTAACGACCACGGTGAAAATATCAGCACGCATCGGACGTAGCATCAGCCGGGGACCGAACAGAGCCTCCCACGTCTAAGTCCGCCGTTTTTCCAACTGCGCCACAGCCGCCTCTCGGCTCCGGGCCGCGCACTCACGATGACGTCCGTGAAGTAGTCGTCGGCGTAGCTGTCGCCGTGGCGGCGCGCCGTGCCGTTCACCGAGAGAGTGTAGTTATAGTAGCGCGAGTTGCCGACCAAGCCGACCCACCAGTCCCAGCCGGGCGGCACGTGCTGCACTCCGCCCGCTGACGGGAGGCCGTACTGAAACAGCGCCGGGAGGCGGCCCTCAGCCGGCCGGACACGGAGCTAACGCACACGGAACTAACGCACATGCCGGTCGGACACGGAACTAACCGACACGCCGGCCGGACTCGGCGTGGGGCCACATTCCTGGCGAGACACAATATGGATGAAGAATAAATCGCAAACGTTATGGTGCCACGGATATCGGGAGATGGAGCAAACGCTTCAGTTCGAGTGAAATATACGTTTCACGGAGTTCCATCGCATCAGACATCTTCGAAAAGAGTCGGTGTTTTCTTAAGTCGCATGTTGGCCATGCTGATATGCAGCGATGGCTTCCTTGTAAAATGATACACATTCGGTTTGACCCCATTCACCCTCACTAAACAGACAACAAGATGGCAAATGGTCCGCTTCCACGAAAAACGGCACTGCCCGCGGCCTTGCCATGACGTCAGACCTTTGTGTGGGGCAGCGAACCCGCGGCCGCACGCCGCCGCCGCGGCCCTGAGCCGCCCGCGTCATCACGGAGCCGCACAAAGCGCAGCCCCGCCGCGGCAAGGCGTGGCAACGCCGACTCGGCTGTCGCCACACGCCGTCCAACAAAGCCGCCGGCCGGCCAACTGCGCCCGTCGGCGTCTGGCAGCTGTTTTTGTCTGGCTTCGACGCCGCCGAACGTCAACCCCACGCCGGCGACGGCGCCGCGGCCGCCTTGTCGTGGCGGTCAGCGGAGCGGGTTTTTTCGCCGGGCGCGGCGGCGGCCGGCTGGCAGGCGGCCAGCACAGAGGCAGGCAGCCGCCGCGGCAGAGGGGAGGGCTATCTCCCGGCCCTGTTGACTGTGTGACGGCACATCGCTCAGTGGCGCACATCGGGAAGGTGCGGAGCCCCGGCCGGCCGCGCCGCCGTCTCGCCGCCTGGGCAGAGCTGCGACTCAGCTGATCGGAGGAGCGGCTCAGCTGGTCGGGGGAGCGGCTCAGCTGACCGGAGGAGCGGCTCAGCTGATCGGAGGAGAGGCTCAGCTGATCGGAGAAACGACACAGCCAATCGCAGCTGACTTCACTGGCCAGGACGGCAAGTCAGCTGGCGGGAGGAACGAATCCGCTGAACAGAGGCCGGCCGAATAATACGAAGCTCCAGCAATCAGCTGAGTAACGTCATCGTGCCAGGGTACCGCCTACATCTCAGAGGGCGCTCCGCGGCGCCACCCCACCATGTGGTCAAGTTGAACGCCTCTCAGTCCAACACAGGGCAAGGGCCGCCCGGCTCCCGGGCTCAGCCGAGCCCACTTGACAAGCGGTGACGTGCGCTTAGTACTGACTCGTGTGTCGTAGCTGCAGGCAGAGGTCAGCATCTGCAGTCTCCAGCATCCGACGCCTGACGACGCTCCGGGGCGCGGAGTCACCGAAGCCTCCTGTGTGGGGACTTGGGACACGTTCAGCAGCGGAGTCCATGGCGAGGAAGGGCGTGTGGGGCTTTCTGCGGGGCCTGGGTCGCCGGAAGGCCGAGCCTGAGAGCCGGCCCTCTGACCTGGCATCGGCGCCGGCGCCGGCCGGCGGCGACAGCGGAGCCGCTCAGGCCGGCGAGACCAACTGGACGGTGCTCCGCCTGCCGCTGGGGGAGGGCGCGACGCTGGAGGACGCTATCTCCCACTGTGTCGAGCACTACATCAAGCCGGCCCTGCTGCGGACGACTGGCGCCAGCGACGGCCCCACGTCTGGCGCTCCGTCCTTCGGTGAGTGGCGCTCAGACGCGGCCGGCTGCACTTCGTCCGTCGGTGAGTGGCGCTCAGACGCGGCCGGCTGCACTCCGTCCGTCGGTGAGTGGCGCTCAGACGCGGCCGGCTGCACTCCGTCCGTCGGTGAGTGGCGCTCAGACGCGGCCGGCTGCGCTCCGTCCGTCGGTGAGTGGCGCTCAGACGCGGCCGGCTCTCGGAGACTCCCGACCGGGGAGCGGCGCACCAGAGCTACCCCGTACTGCTGGTACATTGACTGGAGTGACTGGTGGTGGAGGTGGCCACGATCACCCAAGCTTTGTCGGTTCCAGGCCTACTTCACCCTCCTACCCAGTGTGTGGCGCGTGAGCGGCGTTAACTCACGGCTGTGTAGCAGCTTACTTTCATGAACGAGGAGATACGGCGGCCGAGATACCAACAGGCTAACGTCTAGTTTCGCGACACGGAACGGCGAGCGACGCACTCTGAAATCCGGCTGTATAAGCTAACGGGCCGGAGAGGGGATATTTCACTTCAGTCTTCGGCATGTAAACCATTTGCGGATGAGACGTGTCGGCTGGACCGCAGGTAAACGTTTGTGGTCTGTAGACACCACATAACCATAACATCGCAGCTGGTAATCTACATATGTTTATGGCACACGCTCTTGAGACACGGTTCAAAGGTACGCGGGCTGGTGTCTTTCTTTAATAGAACTAGGCGCATGTTAAAATTCGGATCTCGTTTCCCTGAATCTTACCACGTTGTTAAATGGCCGTCCACGCAGTAACGGTTACGATCCTCGTCTTACCACGCCACGCCTTGTGTCATGACGTCAAAGCAGAATACTGATGTAATTGAAAGGATTAGAACTAGGGTTGCCAGATCTAAATGCCGCCTCGCGGCGGACCGCGCAACAAAGGCGTGCTCAGAAAATAATAATACACTGCCGGTTTCGCGTGGGCCTCGCCCCACGTACCCTGCCCGATCGCACCCCCGCTTCGGCATCTGCGCGGGTGTGCGAACCGCCTGATGAGTGAGCTCTGACCGCTCCTGTTGCAGCTGTGCTGGTCGTGCTGGCCGCCTGCTGGCTGCTGGCGGCTAGCAGTTCGCTGGTGCTGCTGGTGGCGGCGCTGGCGGCGCCGGCCGTCCGCTCGGCGCGCGCGCTCGAGTCGGGCGACGGTGACCAGCGGCGCCGCTGGCTGCGCTACTGGGTGGTGTACGCCGCCGTCGGCACCATCTCAGTCGCCAGCGACCGTCTGCAGGCGTTCATACCGGCATACTGGACGCTTAAGGTAGGCAGTCGGGGTGATTTCGCGTCTCCTGATGCTTCGGAGTCTTTTACGTCGGGCTACTGAGGCCCCACCGCAGTACGTTCCACCCCTGGCACGCACACTCAGCTAACAATACAGCCATCTTCACACGCCGGAAAATAAGGCTGCATTTCTAATGGCAACAGATGGATTGACTCCAGAAAATGCAATGGTGGCCCCCGGAATCGAAAAAAAAATCGGTACTGCACGATCCGTTCCAAGTCATGGAAACTAGCAACGAAAATCGCGCACACCGGCCGCGAGAACTGGCTCCATCCCTCCATCCAAACCATCTCAAACCTAGGCACCGGCTGCCCTATCAGACGTGCATTTCAAACAAGACAGAAAGACCATCTGTTTCTCTGACTGTGCTTATGTTTCAACGTGTTCTTTTTGCTGGGCTTTGCTACAGCGGCTTTTCACAGCTGATCTCCCATTTCAACAGCTTAGATACCGAGGAGCCTTATCCGCCGTTTACAACACGGCACTGCTCGAACGATGCGGGGACAACCACTCTCATTGCTGGCCTTTCCACAATTTTTGAGTGGACAGCTATCACTCGTTTTGCCGGGTCTAGCATACTATTCGCCTGCTACAGGATGCGTTAGTCTTGGAGCGAACAGAGGCTGCTGCGTGTTATGACGGAACATTAAGGCAGAAATGAACAGAAACTATTCAATGGACCATTACGGAAGATGATCAGCGACGAGATTGATTGAGACTCAGCGGCACTTTCGCAATAGATATACGCCGTTGTTGACACTGGCAGATTATGTGGCATATGATCTCGGCTATTAACGGGTGAGACGTGACGACGAAATACTCAACACTCGACGTCAGTGTAGCAAAGCCTGGCTTCGGGGAATGTAAAAAGTGGTCACCGAAATGGATTGGCGCAAAAGGCAAATATCCATCGCCAGATTACTGAGTGAGATTCGTCACTGTTATCATCGCGTGTCCAGTTTTCGGTTGGTGAGCCCCGCGCCCGTTGAAGATCCGGGCCGCTTCCGAAGCCCCTGTGGCTGGGTCGGACCACCCAGGCCCCACACCCGCGATGGGCGGGTTCGACTGCCGCCGCCTCTGGGGCACCGTCTTCACTGCCGACGCATCTGTTGCAGACGCTGCTGCTGCTGTGGTGCGCCGCGCCCTACTCCTGGCACGGCGCCGACTACGTGTTCCACCAGCTGGTGCTGCCCGGCGTGCACCGGATCACAGCCGCCTGGGAGCGCTGCTTCCCACTCAGCCAGCAGCAGGACTGACGGCACCGGATCACAGCCGTCTGGGAGCGCTGCTTCCCACTCAGTCAGCCGCAGGACTGACGGCACCGGATCACAGTCGCCCGACAGTGCTGCTTCCCACTCAGTCAGCCGCAGGACTGGCGGCACCGGATCACAGCCGCCCGACAGAGCTGCTTCCCACTCAGCCAGCCGCAGGACTGACGGCACCGGATCACAGCCGTCTGGCAGGGCTGTTTCTTATTCAGCCAGCAGCAGGACTGGCGGCACCAGAGCACAGCCACCTGCCAGCGCTGCCTCCCACTCAGCCAGCAACAGGACTGACACCGAGGCCCAGATCGTAAAGAGTGGCGAGATGCCCGGCGGCAGGCGTGTGTGCTTTGACCAGCAGCTCCTGCGTCACGTGACTGCACAAGCGCGCGTATGGGACTGTTCTGAGGTGTTCACTTTGGAACTTGTTATGTACATGGGCGCATCCATTGACGGCGACAAAGTGACAGAGACAGGGGTCCTGATGGAGCAGCCCGCCAAGCCGTCGTTCGTGTGTTGTGACAAAAGTCCCGGCTCATTGCGAAATGCTGATCCTTGGAGGCATCGTGTTGCGGTGCCGCTCTGACTGAAGCAGCCCAGGTGCTGGACTAGAATGTTTGATCTCGTAGCATGCCTGTTTGTTTTGGCGGGCATTAGCGCGGAACGGGTACAAGCGATGTGCGCAAAGTTTGTGGTCAATGTTGTTGGTCCTAGAATGACCATGATGTGCCATATACACTTACGAGCTCGACAATGGAAACATCGTCGTCTGGTCTCGCATTATCATCGTGTTGTTTCGTTGGCAGATAGCGGATAATTGGTATCATGGCATATCTTTGTGACACGAAAGGATATTAGTTACACCTACGGCTCTGCGCGGTAACCATTACTCGTGATGTTAGTAAAAATCATTTTCAGGCACACAAAGTCGTGGTTTCCGTCGCGTGGCGGCTTTTAATGTATGCTCTCATCAACACGGTACGCAAGATTCCAATCGGCAAATGCAGCTATGCAAGAACGAGGCGGTGGTCAATCCGCTCTAAACAAGCTAGTTATGACGGTCATGTTAAGTTAACCAATCCCATTGACGTGAGCAAACAATTCCTAAGTTTGCAGAAGGCAGTCTCTGTTCGAGGTCTCATCCTCTCAGGTCTCACCCTAGTGGCTAAGCATCGACCTTAGAATAGGTGCGCCAACACAGGTCACGACGTCGGCATCGTCTCTTAAAAACCTGGCATTCCAATAATGTTTCCAGCCAGAAAACTGCTGTCTAAACATGACGAAGACACACACGTGTGAAGCTCGCACCAGTTGCTCACACGACTGCAACATCAACTGAACGCCGCTGGGCGTCGGCTCACCTGGTTGAGGTATTTGCCAGCGTAAAATGTGTGGTAGCCGCGCCGGCGGAGGTGAGCGGCGACCGTGCGCCGCTCCGCGCCGTGCCGCCAGTCGCTGCCGCAGCAGTTGCCCCGCAGGGTGTTGTTGATGACGCGCGTGTTGTGCTGGTACCGGCCGGTCAGCATAGAGGCTCGGCTCGGACAGCACACCGGCGTGGAGACGAACTGCCCCAGACACGCAATAATGTGGTACCTCAGTGGCAGCACAAATGCCCATCGTACTTTGACAACATGGCTATCTTAACCTTTCAGCCACTGAAAGTGTGGGACCTTACAAATTTGTTGGTGGGTGTGAACATGACAAGTGCATGTGGAGTTACACCTATTGAGCTGGGATCTTCATTGTGTCAGTGAATGTGGGCATACATGAAGCATTTGTTTTTCTTCATTTGTGGTATGATATCTGTAATACTATATTGAAATGATCATCTGTATCATCTGCACCATTTGCTTCTTGAAAATGGGGTCATAATGCATTACAAATAAAAGAAATTACAACATTGTTGGTTAAAAGCTTTACAAAATTGTTGGTCATGCATTTCACCTCTAACCCTAGTTGATACTATCTGAGCAAAACTTAAAGCAGACTGTACATACACTCATGAACATAAATGAGATACTTACACCATTTTTGAATGTGATCCCACCAGTTTCAAAGAATGTCTTGGTGAATGTCATGGGTTCCTGAAAATGTAAGCTACATGTTGCAGTAACATGTAAACATGGGTTAAGTACACAGCCATAATGAAAGCACCTTATACTTGAATCTTGCAAGAAATATGCTTAGCATCCATTATTGTCAAAATTACCCAAACTTAGTTTTCTCCATCAATAATTACCCATCCTGTTTCCTAAGGGGCCACAACCAGACCAAATTGTGTGATAACAGGAAGATACATCAAGTCAAAATATTCTGCACCAGTGGCCTATGGTCTTATATGGCTGATTGCTTGCATCATCTTGCTGGCAACAGCTATAACTGAGTGATGTCACAGACCACATGTCATATTTCAAACATTCATCTCATTTGACTGGAGGTAGTGCATAGGAAAACTCTGCTGGCCTCCTAGACTTAATGCTTTAAGTAAATCTGCAACTTAAAGACGCACCAAGTACAACTGGATTTGTTCTGTCCTAAATGAGTGATACATACCATGCCCTGAAGTAGCATGTCTTGATCATCAGTAACAATCAATATAATGTTAGGCATGTGTGAAGCATTCTCATCATCTTGGATGTACTGTGATATTGTATGGCTAATTATCAGTGAACTTATTGCCAAGGTGCATAAGATGATGACCCCCTTGGCTACACTTTTAGACACCCCACTTCCAAAGAAAATCGTTTCCATTGTATTTCAGGGATGAATGCAAGGGTTAATGCATGATCAAACCTCCCAATCTGTTGTCAACTTAAGCACATAAAAACGGGAATAATGTGTTCATATGGAAATCTCCGTAACACATTCGGGCAATGCCTTGCGTATCTGAAAACATCAAAACATAACGTCTGTCAATCTAGCAGCAGATTGATATCCAATTGCCAGTTGGATATTGCGGGGCGTCTCGATTGCCTTGAAATTTGGTGTGCAGGGCCTTCTCAACACGCTTATTCCGAAAATCACTGCCTTTGAAGTGGAATTTTGCGTAATTTTCGAGCTATACGCTGCGTAACATCTCAATGTGATATTGCGGGGCGTCTCGACTGCCTTGAAATTTGGTGCGCACGGCCTTCTCAATACGCTGATTCCGAAAAGCACCGCCTTTGGGGTGGAATTTTGCGTAATTTTCGAGTTATACGCTGCGTAACATCCCAATGTGATATTGTGGGGCGCCTCGATTGCCTCCAAATTTGGTGTGCAGAGCCTTCTCAACACGCTGATTCCGAAAATCACTGCCTCTGGGGTGGAATTTTGCGTGATTTCCGAGTTATACGCTATGTAACATCTCAATGTGATATTGCGGGGCCTCTCGGTTGCCTCCAGATTTTGTGTGCAGGGCCTTCTCAACACGCTGACCACCGGGGTGTCGCCACCGCCGTCCGGCGGGCTCGTGAAGTGCAGCGTCTCCACCACGGTCAGCAGCAGCGGGCTGATGTTGCCGGGCAGCCAACAACATGGGCATGACGTGCACAAGTAGCATGCCCTGTTCCACCAGCGCCATCAGCGTTCTTGGGAGATAAGACAGACGGTGACATCACCCAAATCTTCAGGCTCCAGCGGTGAAGCACGATTGGTTTGGTCACTAGCGACATCTTGTCAGTTTGTTTTTGGTCAGGACAAGCAATGCTCGTGGCTACATCGGACTATTACTCAACCACCTTAAAGGTCAGAAACGAAACAAAGCTGACAGGGATGCCACTGGGTGATACCACTAAGTTAATGATATCACATACCACACGGTTATCAATCACATTTCGCGAGCTGACCTCCTCCAGTAAACTGACAGGGACAGGCCCAAAGGCGAATTCCAGGACACATTCCAAAGCGCAACTGAGGTGTCACGCGTCGTTTAACTCGGAAGTTACGCAAAATTACACAACAAAGACAGTGATTTCCGGAATCAGCGTGTTGAGAAGGCCCTGCACACCAAATTTCAAGGCAATCGAGACGCCCCGCAATATCACATTGAGATACTATGCAGTGTATAACTAAAAACTTGCGCAAAATTTCATCCCAAAGGCAGTGATTTTCGGAATCAGCGTGTTGAGAAGGCCCTGCACACCAAATTTCAAGGCGATCGAGACGCCCCGCAATATCACATTGAGATGTTACGCGGCATATAACTCAAAAATTACGGAAAAGTCCACCCCAAAGGCAGTGAATTTCGGAATCAGCGTGTTGAGAAGGCACTGCGCACCAAATTTGGAGGCAATTGAGACGCCCCGCGATATCACATTGGGATGTTACGCAGCGTATAACTCGGAAACTACGCAAAATTCCACCCCTGAGGCAGTGATTTTCGGAATCAGCGTGTTGAGAAGGCTCTGCACACCAAATTTGGAGGCAATCGAGACGTCCGCAATATGACATTGGGATGTTACGCGGCGTATAACTCGGAAATTACGCAAAATTCCACCCCAAAGGCAGTAATTTTCGGAATAAGCGTGTTGAGAAGGCCCTGCACATCAAATTTCAAGGTAATCGAGATGCCCCGCAATATCCAACTGGCACTTAGATATCAATCTGCTGCTAGATTGACAGACGTCAAAACATATCGTGTTATTTCATCGAACCAGGAGGCAACAGCTAATGAATCAATGGCGCCTCATTCGCTTTATTCCCATGAGTGAGACTAAAACACTGACGCTGTAGGGACCAAATACTGAAGTGAATTTTTGACTTGTTAATGGAGTCCGGTTGCACGAGAACCATCCCACGCATATTTATAAATTGTGTTGGCAAAAAAACCATAAATTCAGTTCCAGTTTTTTACTGTAATATATATTCTTATGATAGGGGTAGCCATGTTTCTGAGGTTGGGGAGTTGGGCATTGGAGGGATCAAGCAGGAATCTAGCGAGGCGGGGCTATCTAACCTGAGAATAGCATGCACAATGGAATGATTTTAGCACATCCACCCCACGAATTACGGGAAAAATTTCTCGGGTCTGCATTTTTCTCTCAGAAAATTGGAAATGAGAGTGCCCCCATTGGACCCACCCCAGTGGCTATCTGTACGGTTTTTACGATTCCAGTGTAACGGAACTGACTGCAGAATCAGAATTCGTCTAAGTTTGTATTATATCATGTGTAAAGTACCGCATGTGGCAAAAGGAAATGCATAGTTATAAGTTTTCTGGAAACGTTACGTGAATTTTTAATACTCTTGTAACGCAAGCGTTGCAGTTCTGGCGCATGCAATACAGTTTTGGAGTGGAATATGAAAAATGGGACAATGGAAAGGCCGATGTTAGGAAAACCGTGCACATTGCGAACCGTGGATGTTACAACCGTGGATATTTCTGGCTAGAAGAACCGTGGATATTGCCGCCTTAGACATAACCTTACTACTAGTGCTAGCTTGGCCTGGAAGGTATGTGTGCTCTGTGGATTTTGATTTTTAGGGAATGCTGGTAAATCTGCACTCCTGAGGCTAGCATAGGTCCTCAAGCTAGACAAACTTGTGATGATTTTCGACATTTCATTTCTTCTAATGTTTTGTTAAGCACCCTGGACAGAGTCACAACACGTAAACTGCCGTGTGTCCAATATCCAGAAGTGTTGAGCAGTTATTGGAGCAGAGTTACATATTTTAAAAAATCAGGTTCAGACTGTCAGCAAGTTTATGACACCTTTATATGATGGCTTGATTAGTGAGGCTGATATTGATATTTTTACATTTGCATTGCTGTAAAAAGTGGTGTGGGGTCCTGGATCTGCAATGCCAGATTGCCATGAAAAGTCCTAATGCACTTGCCCCATCACAATCCTGGATTGGTACCCATGTCATGACTGTTTATACAGCAGTTTTATTGTAGAAAGGAGGTTTGAATGACATTGCTGCCAGCACCTTCTGCATTGTGATGTACCCAGAATCATGCTGTACATAATTTGAGACACTGAACTGAGTAGGGGATGGAATCATTTTCATCTGTGATATCAGAAAAAAATGATGCAATGTACCATGCTAATATACTTAAGTTTTTAGCAGATGAAATGTATGTTATGTCAGAGTGTCAAGTCTTGAGCATGCCCACCTCTTGCTGAAAGTGATGATATTGAATGTTTGATCAATGTTTATGAGTGGTTGATTGTATCATGCATTAAAAGGTGCCAAAAAAGTGTAAATATGCTCCCCCAAATGTATGATCATATGATGTTTAGTCCCAGTATTAAATGAACATATGTGAGCATGAAAGAGAAAAATAAAGGCTCAGAAAACCACACAAAATCATGAAATCAGCAATGAAAAATATTTGTTGTATTAGTATTTGCAGTTCAGTGTAAGCTGATGACTGAGTGAGGCTTTAGAAAATAATTTATGCATGTTTGTTAATGCCACATAATGCACTTTTGAGTAGCATTTGGGTTTGATGGCACATGTAGTCTCACTGGACTTGGGTTTGAGTATCAGCTCACAGTTTTTGGAACTCAGATTCAAATTTGGTTAAACCTCCAAGTGAATTGGACTCAGGGCATTGGGCTCAGCAACTCAACAAATAACAAACTTAGTCCAGGCAGAAATAGTTGAACAAGCTCATGTCTCAGGCTCAAACTCAGTTAAGGCATGTAAAAATGTGAGTTGTTAAGATAACTTAAAGGTGCCATAGCATCGTGAAGCCAGGCCCTGTTTGAGATGATGTTATGACATCTGATTGATAGCATTTGAAGCAACTACTTCCTTCTCACAAGTGTGTAAGAAATGTAGACATGTTGATGGAAAGCAAACCTGGGGATTTTTCTTGTATTAATGAAGGATCATTTGAACTTGTTGACCAAATCTTCAACACTGATTGAGGCACATGAAGAATGAATGGTCTCAGTTTTCCAATTCCTTTCTCAACTATGCTGTTTCAGCATGGACTGTGGACAGTGTTGCCCTCAGGTTCGCCATTCAGTATCACTCCATATGTAGCGCCAGCCTTTCAGAAATACTAGCAGTTCAGTCACCCTTAAAAAGAAACACTATGGTTTTCATGTAGCATTTACTGTCAGATATATTTCTATGATCCACTTGAGCATATATTGCATGTGATGTATTCCACTCTAGTGCAACAAAGTGCAAAAAATGCATATCAGCAACTGTAATTTGAGACTGAAGTACTTCTTGGACGGCGTCGAAATCGCAGCCGAGTCCACCGAAAAGACCTCGAAATCTTCGTGGGCCGAAGGCTCAATCTCCGTGTGGGGACGGCGTAGACGATCTCGAAGACCAACCAGGTGCTGGCAGTCGTCAGGCGGTCTTTTGCCAACACCGATGTTCACGCGTCGCCATTGCTCTTCAAGATCCTAGTACGTCCGTGCTTGGAGTATTGGCAATGCCGTCTGGGACCCGTTCGGCAAACTGGACCAGAAGCGGCTGGAGCGGGTTCAGCAACGAGCTACCCATCTTGTCCATGACGTAAGGCACCGGCCATACTCTGAGAGCCTCAGACTCCTCCAGTTGCCCTCTTTTGACTGTCGTCGTCGCAGGGGAGACATGGTTACAGTGTGTCGGCTGTTTCACGGAGGTACGTCGCTGTCGGAAGAGGAGTTCCTGACAAGGCACAACTCGGAGGTGACAGGAGGACACCAATGCAAGCTCAGAAAACCTCGAGCTGGGACTCCCCTCGGTCGTAACTCGCTCAGCACGCGGGTCGTCAACGATTCGAACGCTCGTCTACACCCGTTCGTATCGTCAGCGTCAGTTGAACAGTCCAAGTCTAGGCTTGATATGCACGGGGTCCATAATTTGAGGCTGTTTGGTCACCGGACCGGGAGCCTGACGAGACCGGGACCGACAAGCCCAGTGGCCTTTTATCGTTCCCGACCACCATGAAGTAAGGTGAGTTAAGGTATTGTATTCAGACCAAGGGCTTCGTT